ATAACAACATCCTATTGTGTGCAAGTGCACGAACACACACACACACACATATACATCTTATCTTTATGTTTGGAAGGCGATGCTGTAATGTTGTGAGTACTGATGGTAACAGCTGTGCAAAAACGATAGAGTCAAAAAGAGGAAAAAAAATAACTTTTGATTTATTAGTTGTATCAAATGACGATCGTTATAAGTAGCACGTTTTTTTTTCTCTCTTTCTTGTTCGTTAGGCTTTTCTAAATCGAATTTGATGCATGATTGATCATCAGTAGATTTTTTTTTGTGAACAATTTATATACATCATGAAAGAACAAATATGTCAGATGAAACAATGTAGTTTCACATTGAGAAATACAACGGCTGCTATTACTCGTGGTCTCTCAAAAAAAAAGATGCGTTATTCTAAAGTAGAGAATAGAATGCTGCCTATTCGCTTTTGTTATTACTCGTTTGCTTTAAGGCTGTCGACACACACACATAAAGTAATACGCACAAGGAAGGAAGAAGAGGCTTGTTGTTCTTATTCTTGCTTTCCTTCTCCCTCTTTTCTGTCCCAGTTTCTTTTCTTTTCTTTTCTTTCTTTTTTTTTTGCTCGTTTCTTCTTGTAGATTTTTTTTGCTACTCTCCCTTCTTACGACTACGTTGGTGTTAGTGGCGGCCTGTAGTGCAATCGACGACAACGACAACGACGAAACACAGTCCCTTACCTCTTCCTAAATGTTTTTGTGGTCGCAGTAGTGGGTGATCCATTTCCCATTTTATTGAAGTACACTCATCTTTTACGGTAAGTAGAATATCAAGATTAGAAAAGTTCCATTATTGACCTAACACATGCGCATGTAGAAAGATAAAAAATTACTTTTCTTTGGATACTTGCTAGTCTCTAATCAAATTAATCGACTACTATGTAAGAGTAGTCAATGATAAAGAACAGAGGAAGCAAATTTAGTCAGAAATATAACATTCTATTATAAAAGAAAAATACTTCATTTAGGTTGTATTGTATGTTGACTGTGTTGTCATTAGAAAATTTTGTCATCGAGAAGAAAACATGAATACTTGTTTTTTTTTTGTTATTAATTAAAACCTTCGTTCATATTAATCATTCTTTTGTTTTCTCTTTTTTTTTTCTATTTCATGTCTGCGTGTGTTTCATTAAAAAAAAATGTGATAACACACAGGAAGGCAGCAGCTGTTTTTGTCGAATGACTATCATCAAAAGAAAGGATAGCTTTTTTTTTTTCATCCTTCTTTGACGCATAGGACACAATGATGAAATAAAAGGCATCACTTATTTTGTCTATATATATATTATATATATATATATATGGAGAGCTTTGGTTGTCAACACATCGTCATTTAAAAAAGAAATATAGAGACAAATAAAGAGAAGTTCTCAATCAAGCATGAGATAGCCTGTCAGTTAGATTCAACGGAGACAGTGAGAGAACCCTAGAATTTACTTTCTTCTTTTTGTTTTTTATATGTCAGTGGGTAATAGAAAAAAAAGAAAGAAAACTCATTAAATCTACATCTATCTCTCATTACTTTTTCCTATTGAAGTAAATAGTCTTTTTTTTTTTAATTTGAGACAAATAAAAAGGCGTGTTAAACGTATCTGACACTATCAATATAAGTGAAACAATACTATATATATGTATATATATATATCAATATACATTCGATCTATTGCACCTTTAACTATCAAAGCAGACTCTTTCATAATTGCACGCTATACACCCCATTTCCTTTTGCTCGCTCATAAATACATTGTATTGCGCGACCGGAAGTCGACGACTGTTCGTTCGTTGTGTCGACCGATCTGTCTGTTCATCTTCTCTTTCTCTTTTTCATTCGCCCTCCCTTCTCCACCCTTTCCTTCTTCATCAAACCTACTGTTCTCGCTTTTCTTGTATATTGCTAATCTCGCATGCAATAACGGCGGCAATGGTCGTCGCTGACTGGCTAGGCTGATGGTGATGAGTACATCGTGTGACGACGAACAAGAGAGTACTCGCCTTCTCTCCTTTCGGTCGGTTTATTTCTTCTTATTCTGCATCTTCTTTTCATCGGCCTATTCGCGTTTTGTGTGCGCTTGATTTAGCTTGAGAACATAGAGAATAGGGAGACAAGGCAAGGAAGGAGAGAGAGGGAGAGACAGAGAACGATGTGCCTTTTGTCTATTATAGATTAAAACGGGGGGAAAACTAACAACGACCTCCGCACGCACAAGCATACATATATACATATACATATTCACTAAGACATATACAGTTGTGTACTAGTAGTAGTTGTTGTTGTTGTTTAATCAATTGCAAACGAATATAGACAAATTTATATATTCTTATTAGAAATTTAAAAAAAAAAGATGTCAACTGTCGTTGCTCATCAGGTAATTTCCATTGAATAGTTTTTTAATGAAAAAAAAACTATCTCGTCAATATATATATATAGATATATACATTTACTTTTTTCTCGTGTTCTGAATTTTGAATAGATATATGTTTTGATAAGAAACTATTTAAATAAGTCATAATGTCATGTTAATAAAAACGTTTGTTTTTTTTTTGCATGATTGAAACTGGATTTAATCTGATTTCTACTTTATTATTTTTTTTCTGCATTGACACGCCAAAAAAAGTAAAAATTATTTTTTCATTTTTAATATCGACATCGTATGACATCATTTGATAATGTCGCTATCGATGCTGTCCTGTTCTGTTTCGATTCGACATATACACATATATAATCTAAAGAAGTCGTGGTCATTTTTCTTTTTCTCTAACCATTCATTTATTCGTCCTTTATATCTACTTGTCGTTAGAGTGTGATTTATATGTTTTTTTGTCACTTCTATTCGCATATATGCACTAAATGACATCATCTTCATCGTCGAATAGTCGACATCATCGTCAGTTAGATACAAGTCTTGAACGGCAAGCTCGTTTAGCTGCTGCAAATGCTGTTGCTACTTGTTGTTCATCTTCTTTACGTCGACAACGTTCTGCATCATTAAATACCAGTATTGAACAGACTCGTTGGGTACTTGTCATGCCAACGCTCGAGGTGATGTATCTTCCGTTTGCTTACTATGTATATAGACATATATATATATATATGAATGACTATATATAACTCCGCCTTATAACTATTTTTTCTTTTTTTTGTTCATCGATGAACACAGCACGAAAGAAGAGATAATTAAATAGTATAGGACGTGTTTCATTATCCTCTTGTTAATTCACAGTTGGACTATTCCAAGTTTGAACTAATTTGATACATCCCGTCGACAACACTATCTAATGAATAATTCAATGATGACGATCGATTGATGACCTTACACATTGTACTATTAATATTTTGAATGTAATAACATTGAGCAATTAAATGATTGGTTAGATTTTATTCAACAGAAATTCGATTTAATTATTTGAGAAAAAAAAGTACAAATTTTTGTTTTGTGAGAAATTTTTTTTCTTGAAGCTAATTGTTTATTATTATTATTTTCTATTTTGTTTATATATTAAATCGTTTTTTAGTGACCTGATGTGCCCTCCAGATGATCTTTCATACGATATGAAACAAGAGATATAGCACCAGGAAAAAGCAAAGAATAGATGTGATGAGTAGTATGTTTGTAGATAACAGTCAGTTGCTTGTGAGATGTACCGGCTGCTCATTAATCAAACTATATATATATGTTTGTGTATGTATATGGTCTAGTTTTTTTCTCTCTCTTGCTCTTCGCTTTCTCTCTGTGGTATTTATTATCTCTTTCTTTCGACCTCTTCTACTGTTCATTTAAACATTTCATTTAGGTTGTTTTAAGCCCAAGAGAGAGAGAGAGAGAGAGAAAGTCTATGTATATGTGTGTGTTATTACGGTCAAGATCAAAAACATTTTAATTCTTAATAGTTTTAGTTTAAAAAAAATAAAAGAAAGATATGGTAATCATGACAGCTACAGCTGCTTCAACATTAGTGGTGAGTCATTGTGAGTGTGATGTTTTTTTTCTTCTTTTTTTTTTTTTAATATATGATGACCTTTTATATGATGTATGTAGATGATGATGAAGAGGAAAAAAAAGTCAGAAAAAATAATGACGAGTAATATGAAAAGAGAAAGAAAAAAAATCGAGAGAGAAATAATGATTACTTTTCGACTTGTTGTCGAAAAGAAAGCATTTGTTTGACCCTGACGTACATGCAGCCAGCATACATTTTTCTTTTTTGGTAACAAACAAAAAGTGATTAGAAAAAAACAGACATGGTAATATGTGAAGAGCAGGTAAAAGTATATATATGTAACTAAAATATGCATATATTTATCGTAATGTATACTAGCAAGTGTGTTTTTTTTATATGGCGACAGGTGGATGATTCGTGGCATTCTCTTTTTTTTTTCTTTTTTTTTCTTTCTTTCTTAATATACTAAAATTTGATTGAATAGGACTATAGAATGTTCTGTTCTTTATATTTAGCAACCGGCATCTTATAACACATCGCAAACGCCTTCTTTACACCATTTAATTATTGATCCTCATTCATCCGGTCACGTCCAACAACAACAACAAACGCAACAGCAACATTCAACAACAATAACAAATATGGCATTAACAGCTGAACGTGAAGCTTATTTACGGCTGGCAGCACATTCAATGGAACGTTCTGAACAGATTGCACCACATTTTAATATTCGTTCGCCCAAAGCTTATGGTGGTTATGTTGTAAGTATCAATACGAGGATTTTTAATTTTATCTTCGTTTTTTAATAAATTGAATCGTCGATATTTAATTGAAAGAATACGAGAATATTATTGTAAGTGTCCTAGAACGTAACAATAAATAAAGCATACTCAAAAAGAAAAAAATACGAGAATATTCATTCGAGTTATTTTCTATTAATCGTTTATCATCTACATCTCTTTGTCTCTGGTTTTGTTTTTTTCGGTCTCTACTATTCTTGAGATATTATTGTTCGATTAGATGATGAGGAGAAAAAGCGGCGCCTCGAATCATCATGATTATTTTTTTCTCTTCTATATATATATATATATATCGTTTATCTGTATTCGATTCTTTATTTTTCCGGAACTGTCTTTCATTAATAAAAGAGAATGAGTTTTTGTTTTTTCATTGAATTTTTTGTTTTCTTTGTTTTTAATGGGTCAATCTATTCTAACCTTGAAAAATAATTATTGAGTAGAACACAATAGTCCTATGTATCTCTTATTACAAAAGTAGAAAACAACAGGGAAGAACTCACACTGTGTATGTATATATTTATGTATATTTATCTAATAGAAAAAGATGTAGCAGGTTTAGATAAACTTTATATTTACTAATAAACACTAACTATCATTATCATATATATATATAGGTTGTATCTATTTAGGATAGAGAAAAGAAAAATGATAATATTTCACTGTAGGTTTTTCTTGATTAGATGGACTATTCATTCGTACATTATTGATAATATCTAAACATATATATATATATATGTGCGTGCTAAAATCTCATCATGTCGTGGCAGTAATAACTTCATTGAAATCGATTAACCTGATATGTAGCACATGACATACAGAATGTTGTCATAATTTTTTTTTTTTTTTTTTGCATATCTACATATGTTTGTCAGTAGCATTTTATTATTAAATCTTTCTTTTCTATCACATACCCATTGGAAATTTGTATGTATAAAATATTCGACACCAATTAAGAATGATGCGATAGACGTAAAGAAACTTTGAAGTTGTTCAGTGAATAGCTTCGAGCCAGAATTGATTGGGCTCTTTTTCTTTTTCTCTCTTTTGTTTATAGCTGACTATACGTCTATTCCCAATCAGACAGACACAGACAGATAGAAAGATAGGACAAGCATAAATGAAGACAGAACATACGAGAAGAAGAAGAATAGGGAATGTAGCACTAACAGATACGATTTGTTTAGTACTATACTCTCAGAAAAAGAAGAAGAAGAAGAAGAAGAAGGAGGGTAAGAAAAATAAATGATGCTGGCGACTATAAGCATTTATGATTAATTCTGAGGCCACCTCCGGCTTCTTCTCTTTTTTCTTATCGTTGTTCAGCGATTTTCAATAGGCCGAATTTGATTCATATGTAAATATGGAGAGCAACATAGGGAGAGAATCAAGATTTGTATAAGCGGCTGTTTCGCATCATATAGAACAAAAAAAAGAAGTCTTAAGCATGTGTATGAATACATACATAGGAAAAAGAAAATACACTCATTTTCTGTTTATAAACAATTAAGATAGAGCTCATGTCTAAGGTCGTGTTAAGGTTCATGTTTTTTCTTTTTTTTTTACTTGCGGTTAGTGATATTATATGTTAAACGATTAATCGAATGATTTCTATCTTTGACGAACGAATAGAAATAAAGAAGAAAACAAGTTTGTTCTATTTCTTCTAAATATCAGTAAAGATAATATACTAGAGAAAAGGATGTGTCATGCACTTCTCTTTCTCTTGTATATGTATATGTATATGTACGTGTAATAGAATACATCTTGTATATGCACATTCTTCTTCGTCTATAGTTGTCGGTTGTCGTCCATCGGCAAGGCAAATATTTAGGCCTCGCCTCGTTCCTACAGTATTTGCATTGCTATTCATTCATTCTTTTTCTCTTTCTTCTATACGTTCGCATCGTGCTGCTCGTGTAAAGGGGCTTATTATATTGATGAGTTTTTACTATGATTACATTTCACTACTGCGTTTTCTCTCCTTCTTTCTCTCTTTCTCTCTCTCTTCTTCCCTTCTCGTTCTCTTCCCAATGCTCTTTTAGTATTGCCATAAAAAAAAACGGAACCAGAGCGAGGGAACGAATGAATGCAGAAAGCCGTTTTGTTCGCTCTTGTCGTCCTACTCTATAATCAGTCAAAATTACGTACCGGTAATGTTCTTTTACTTGATATACATGGTCTATAGAGACATGTCTATGTGTACGCATTTCTCATTCTTTTTCTGTATTTCTCATCATGTTCAAGATGGTTTATTTTTCTCTTTGATGAAAACTAATAGCTTGATATAGAGCATACATCTATCTATCTATACATCTATATATATACACATACAGTTGTTGTTGCTGGTATTATTATTATCATTAATATTACTCTTATTATTATTATTATTATTATTATCATTGTTCCATTCGTTGTCGACATGGAGAGCGATGTTGTTTTGCTCGGATTAATGGACTGGAATGCCGCATCGCCGGCAACACAGCTCATACCATTACCGACAACAGCTGAAATGTGCTATGAATTGTTGACAGGAGGGGTTTGTATATATAATAAATACCATCAGTTATTTGAAAGAAAAGAAGACATAAAAGAGACATAACTTAATAGTATATTACCAGTTTTTGTTTTTGAATAGTTATTATATAAAATTGTATATAGATATAAATGTATATAGATATACTTCTTCTTTCAGCCTTCACCATCTCATCATGTTGTTTATGATCAATCTCGACCACCCTATATAAATGGACATCAAACAATAATTAATAATGGTTTATCACCATCATCGTCATCATCTTATCAAACTCAACAACATCTCAGTGATACAAATTTGTATATAAAAAATTTACCACCTGATTATTCTGATCAAGATCTTGCTAAACTTGTGGAAGGGTAAAAATATAATCATAATAATAATAATAATTATTATTATTATTATTATTATTATTAAATTCAATAAATAACTAATGATATTAAAATTATAGTTGTGGTAAAGTGAAGTCAATGAAAGCAATAATTGATAAACAAACAAATAAATGTAAAGGTTTTGGTTTTATTGATTTTGAATCTACTGAAGATGCTCAAATGGCAATAGCTCAATTACAAAAAAAGGGTTTTACTGCCCAATTAGCTAAAGTATATATACAGAGAATATAATTTCTTAAATATAAATAAATAAATTTATATATATAAATAAAATTTAGTCTTCACAGCAACAAGAACAAGATACAACTAATTTATATTTTGCTAATTTGGATCCTCAAATGACAGAACAAGATTTACGACAAGCACTTAGTCAATATGGTACTGTTGTTAGTGTACGTATTCTACGTGATCAACAAAAACAATCACGTGGTGTTGGTTTTGCACGCATGAATGATAAAGAACAATGTCAAGCAATTATTAATCGATTCCATAATCAGAGTTTTCCAGGTATAGATTTATTCTACAAAAATAATATCAATGAAATTTATTTAAATTTCGTTTTGTTTCTTTTTTTTTGTTAAATAGATTTTGCTGATAAACACGTACATGTAAAATTTGCTGATGCTAGTAATAAAAATAAGAAATTGTATAAAACAGGTTTAGATGTAAGTGAAAATGATAGTTTTCATTTAATTAATTAATTAATTAATTTTTTTTTGAAAGGACATGAAAAGTGGTCATCCATTATATCCAATGGATCAAACAGTTTCTTATTCATCGCCAGCTGTGGTATTTCCACCATGGCCACAAATGTCAGCAGCACAAATGCTTCCTCAACAAGCTCCTGCTCAACAACAACAAGCACCACCAATTGTATCCGGTCCACCACCACATCCACAACATCCAGCTCATCATCCAATGTATGCTCAAGCAGCACAACTTCGACAGCCATTAGGCGTTTTTAATCCAGCTATGCAGTCCTACATGCAATTATCACATGGACCAGGACATGAAAGTGGTGCCACATTTGTATTACCGATGCAACAATTACAACAATTACAAATAGCTAATGGTCATCCGGGTGCATTTTGTTTAGTTAATTCACCACATCATCATGGACATCCTCATGCAGCACTTTTTATGCAAGCACCACAACAAACAGTTGCAGCTCAACCTCAACCACAACAACAATCAGCACCACCACCTTCACAACAACAAAATGATCCATCACTTATTGCTTCACAAGTAAGTTAAATTAATAGAACGAGAGAAAAACGAAGATTACTATTTATTATTTCATTATTATTCCATAGGATCTGTCATAGAAGACCTACTGATGAAACAGCCAATCATTTGTTTGTTTTTTTTTCTCTAACCTTCCCCAGTTTTTTCTCCTTGTTTGTTGCGATCTTCTGGCTTGAATGAGAGAACTTGTGTGGATCTTTTGTTCATTGTTCAACCACCGAGTTTCTCTCATGTGTGCCGTTTTTTTTTTGTCTCTCTCTCTCTCTTCTTTTTTTTCACTTCGTCTCGAGTGCCATTTTGATGATGTTGATGCTGATGCGTGTGTGTTTATGTGTGTGTGTGTGTGTGTGCATGACCGTCGCTCTATCTTTTTTTTCTTCTCTGTCCTTGGTTGCCGTTGTTGTTGTTGTTGTCACCGTTTGGTCGGTCTCTACATTTCTTTCTTTTTTTTTTTCTTCATGTTTTTCTTTTTTTTTCTTGTTTCTTGGCCGTGCTAGGCAGCCAGTCGCCTTCCTTTTTCTTTTTTTTTGTGTGTGTGTGTCTCTTTGTACGTATGTGAGTGAAGACAAACGAAGTCTGTGTGATGAGATAAGAAGAAAAAACACTTGGCTCTATTTTTTTTTTGTTTGTTCGTTGGCTTCTTGTTTTTTTTCATACACACACACAACAATTCATATGTTCATTTTTTTTTCATTGTTGATGTAATACTAGTTTTTTCGCGCATTTGCGTGCATTGATAACAGACTGCGATGAAATGATTTCGAGTAAGACATTTATATATACATACACACAGAGAAACAAAGAGACGAAATAAAACAAAGAAAGTACGAGAACGAAATGAAATGAAATATACACATTGTATTGTTACTATTATTATTATTATTATTATTAATTGCATTGATTTTGTTATATTATAAAATCATGCAATATGATAATCTTATTTTTAGAAAGATATTAATTATGATATAAACAAATCTAAAAAAAGAAAAAAAATTAGATTATCATGTTAGATTCAATTGTTCATCAATTGATCGAGATATATATACAATTGAATTTCTTGATCGATTATTAAAATTTGTAATGCTTGTATGACTTTAGAAGATGATGTGTCGAATTTGATCAACTAAGAAATGAATAAGTTATGAATGACATACACATAGTCTTGACTATGTGATTGTCATCTGTCAGATACTTTCGGTACTTTGATCTTTTATTTAAAAATTGATATATATGTTTTTGCTTTTCTAATGAATAAAAAAAAAAAAAAAAAGGAAACATGCAAGATAATTGTGAAGTAACTGGAATTAATTTATCTCATTTGATAACTATAACTTGTCAGTCATGTGCAACTAATTTTTTCTTTTATCAAGAATATATCAACACAAGCTAACGAATAATTATATATCAAAAAAAGAAAAAAAAAACTATTAATATACGAAAACTAATTCATAATTTATTGATAAACTTCAAAGTATTATATTATCCATTCGATCTAATAAAAGAAGAAAAAAAATGAAATTATTATTTAGTTCATAGCTCATCTATATTTCAGTTGATCGAGTACGAACGATAATTCATCGACTCCCGATAGGCATAGCTATGTTCATAATAAAGCAAAAAACAAAAGAAGAAAAGGGAAAAAAACAAGAAATTTCAATTAGATCATAGGATTAATAAATGCATGATATTGTCGAACAAAAACAAAGTCTTTTCTTTGTTTTTTTTTAACATATAAGAAAAAAAAAAGTTTTTTTTTTAGTTTTGTAATTCTCGTTGAATACTTTCAATTATTGTATTAATTGATTTATGTCGATTAATTTTAATAAAATGTCTTCCTCGAATAGTAATTATTGAAAGCCATCCATTATTTGCCGGATATGTATGAAGGAAACGAAGAATTTCCGTTGATTGATCTAAATTTATTCAAATAACATAATAAAAATGTACATAATAAAATAAAAAAAAACATGATTCAATAGAATTTTTATTTCTTACTATAAGAAAAGTGACCTGAATGACAATCACGAATTTGTTTAGCAACATAATCTAATTGAAGTGATATTGCACGTTCAGCAATAAAAAATTGTTGAACAATATTAATTGTTTGTTCAAGATAAGAAAGCATTTGTTTTTGTTGATCAATTGTATTTGATAATAATTTATTTGTTTCTTTTGAACGAATCTTTACAAATATAAAAATCATCAATTTTGATTTTTATTACTGAAAAAAATAAAATAAAAATATTACTTTTTCAATTAATGATGGTGATATTCCATCGATTGAATATATTTCTTTAGTTGGTGATGATAATGTTATTGTTGATGATACATCATCATCATTTGAAAATGTTGAAAATAATGCACGTTTAACACGTTGTGATTGTGTTTTTTCAGCATAATGACAAATTTCAATTGGTGATGCTAATAATTGTTTATAGTCTTTATCTGGTGATTCAGGTAATGTTGATATATCAATATCAGGAATATTTAATAGATCAAAATCTGGATGCCAACGAGCAAGATTTTCATCATTAGGAAGTTCTTCAAGTTTTAATTGAAGTTTATTTGATAAAAATGTCTAAAAAAAAATATATTATGTATAAAAATTAGCTCTCAAAATTATACCACTAAAATTTATTTTTAATGTCGAAAACATTAATAAGAATGTAAAATCATGATTTTTCTAAATGAAATGATTTTTTTCAGTGGCTGGAACTCACAAATAAAGTTCTGTTTTGAATTATCTATAATAATCGAATAACAATTCTACATCCAATGAAATATCGTCGTATTCTCTATAATATGTTTTTTTTGACCGAGATATATCAACCTGACATCCTCAAGTTGATATATCTCGATCAAAAAAAACATGTCTTGGAGAATAGGATGACATTTCTGTTGATAGACAATTATTTGCTCTTTTGTTCTAGATTATACAAACAGAATTCTATTTGCGAATTTCATGAGTTGATAAACTTTGGTTTGGATTTTTCAGAAATCTTATCCTGAGAAAACTAGCGATTATCAAAAACTTCTTCTTAGAAATAAAATTTTCTATACAAATCAATATTTAGATTCTTATTATCGCTTACAACAGTGGAAGAAAAAATCTGGAAGAAGAATATCCAGGGGCACTAGATACGATAATTAAGAGATAAGTATAAATGCGAATGTTTAACACGCTCGTCTAATTGTATATAAAGTGTTATACAAGAGTAACTAGTAGTTGCGCTAGTTTTTCTCTTATAACACTTCAATAAACTCAAAAAGTGAATATCAAACATTCAGTTATCGTTTTATCAGCGAGATCATTGGTTCATAACTTTACATTGTGTTGTGTGTGATTGAATCACTTTTATATAAATTAAGGCTTTTGTGGGAAGTAAAAAAAAAACTAAACTTGTAAATTGTCGCTTTCTCCAGTGTATATTAAAAGGAAAATGAATTTTTTGAAAAAAATTTTTAATTTTTTTTACTCGATGATGTCTTTTGACAAGATCAAATAGAGCACGACGAAAACAATCAATACGTTCAATAATAATTGATGGAGTTATTTGCATATTTGATTCAATACCAAAATCAACTAAAATAAAATCAAATAAATCATTTAAAATAGTCTTTTCAAAAATTTAAATACTTGGCGTAATTGTTAATTCATATTTAAGTTTAATTGGACTTAATGTTGGTAATTGAATTTTTTCTTGTTGAAAACTAAACATTGTTGGATAAATTGTTTTAATACGACCAAGTGTTTGTAAAGTAAAATTTCTAAAAGAAAAAAAAAACAATATTATTCGAAATTTAAAAAAAAAAAACTACCGTTTTGTTTTTTGTTGTATAACATGTTGAACTTTTTCAAATGTACTTATGCCACCATTATTGTGCGTATGACAAACAAGAAAATCAAGATGTTTATATTGTTCAAGTAATAATTCATATTTATTTGGTAATGGTAATTCTATAGTAGTTGTAAGTGAGCTAAAACGTTCATAAGCTGGAACAGATGGATAACTTAAAAGAAATTTATTATTATTATTATTATTATTAGAGATGTATGATTGATATTTTATACCTTTTTACTGGTGTAGGATGTTTAAATGGACTTGATGAAACATCTCCGATGATATTAGAACGTTTAATAGGTGAACGAGAATATGTTGATTTATATTTATACAAATCATTTCTAAATGCACGAATACGTGTACGTATATCTTCAAGATCTTGTTGTGCTATGGCATTTTCACGTATTTTAATTGGACTACGATGATGAAGTGGAGCACTATGATGACGAACAAATTTAATTCGAGTAGATATTGATGATTTTGTTGAAGAAGTTTCTTGTAATGGATAATTATTATTCGAAATAATTTCGCTTGGCTCGATCGTATCATGATTTTTTGTTGTTGCTAAAAATAGATTGAAAATTATCATGAATATGATAAATTTTGTGTATGAATTAATTCGCTTACATATTGATGATGTTATATTTTCTTCAAGAGAAATATTCGGTGTACATTGATCGAAATCTACATTGATTAGTTCTTGTTTTGTGTTTGATTGTTCGTTGATTTTAATTACTTTCATAGGTTTTTCGAAGAGAGTAGCATGTGAAGCAGATGTCGAACGACATTTAGCAAAGAAATCAGTAATTAAAAGTGTTCTTTGCGGCATAATTTATTAGTTAAAAAAATTAAATTATTGATCAATCAAATAAAAATGTTATTTTTTGATCGTTTGTATTGTGCTCAAACGGACAATGGTCAATATTGTTTTGAGCATTGTTGACCATTGGTCAAGTGATTAAGCCCTCTATGATGATGATCAAGTGAGAAAATCATTCATAGATGTCGATGTTCTTGTCCATTTTATTTTGGAAAGAAAAAACTGTTTAATCCTCTAGATAAATTAATCACACGTTAAAGCCATTGAAACTCAAACGAAAATATCAATTTTTTTAATTAGTGACATTAAGCTAATAAAGGAAAGACACGTAACATCAACCCTCTAATTATGGGGGTTTTAAATGATTTCGAGCATTGAGAGAATGTATTTAATAGTTATTAACAATCTTATCCAAGGAATTGTCATTATGATTGTTTAGAAAAATTCTCAATCAAGATATGTCTCTCGAGTTTAATGTTTCAGTTTGTTTATACATACGTGACATTCTATCATTTTGTATTTATGTAAAGAAAAGCCATAAGAAATACATCTATTTTCTAATGTCATCTAAATTAGTTTTCTCATGAATGAATTGTTGATTAATTAAATCTCAAGAGTATACATGTATACTTCAATGTTTATCATAGACAGAAAAAAAAAACAAAGTTTTTATTACATTAGATGAAATCATGAAAATAAACTAATATGCACTAAGATGTTAATTAATAATTCAAACTTCTAGAAAATATGTTCTCATATTTTATTATAGTTTATTTAGATAAAAAGAAGTATATGTCATTCTTTTGAATGTGTAATTGTGACATACACTCAATGACATATTATACATATAGATGAAACTATTCTTCCTTTTTTTCAAAAGAAAATATGATTATACTTAGGACTGACCATAAGTTCTGTTATCATTAAATAAAAATATAAAGATAAGGAGATATTTTTAATTTTATTTCATCAAATGTTAAGGATAGCTGCCAGTATTATTTATTCCAAGATCAATCTGTTCTAACAATTAATTAAAAGTTTTTTTTTGAACTCTTTCTCTGAAAAACTTTTAGTTACCTTGGAAACCATATGAGCACATCATGATTCATTTATTTAATTAATTAAACTACGTCCGACACAATTACATATGAGTCATGCAAGTTTTCACGGTAAAATTTATATACATATTTTGATTCGTTGAAAAATTCACATACTATACAACTAATATATACATCACTAACTCAAACCTACGATAGATACGTGGAACAGGCCTTTGTCAAAGGTAGAGGCTAACCTGATTTTTAGTTCAATTTTTTAAACGTTTCAGTGGAATATTTACTCAGAAAGATAACTCTAATGATAACCACATAACAAAAAAAAAACAGTTTGATTGACGCCAGCATTATTAAGGAGTTTTAATAGACAGATCGATTGGTAGTACAATTTGTGTTGAAATATCAAGCGACGTGTGTGTAGAAAATGATACAACTAGATACTAAGGTTACATAGTACTAAGTACAAGAATAAGCTGTTCCCTTCTTGATTTGCTAGAGCAATTAAAAGACGACATTTTGAAAGAATAGTAAGAGAACGAAAAACACACAGTCCAAGGTTGCTTCAAAATTATCGAACGTTTTGTATGAAGAACTTTTGATTAACAAAGAGCTGAATTTATTTTTGATTAATTTAATTTGAAGCATATATTCTATCTCTTTCTATCAATCCCTCTTATTATAGAATCAACCGACGACATCAAAATTCAATCGCAAGGTATCGCCAAACTATGGTTAAATTTTTACTATTATATCGTGTTGTTATTTTTTAGTATATAGAAAACTTGAATTCGAGCTCAAAATGAACAACGCCCATCATGTTATATTCTCTTTTCACTAATTTTTTTAATCATTCCATTTTTTTCTTGTATAGAAGTAATTCAATTCTTAGTCTAGTCAAATATATATTAATGATCATTTTCATTGTTCTTGTCGAATAAAACCTATGGAAATAGTAAAAACAATTGAAAGACTATATTTAAAAAAAAAAGATGAATTTTTTCCGTTTTTGAATTTAAATATACATTTACAACAAAAACTAATGTTAATAAAGTTCTGTTTCAGTTTACTTCTCATGATTTTTTTGAATAATAACTGAGAGAGGAACAACAAGGACTTTAGCCTTGAAGTCTTGAAGAGTTTCTTGAAAATTTAAAGGCTTCATACTTGAAATCTGCTGTTTACTTCTCGATAGTAACTAAAATTCATTCTACATTCATTTGAATCAGACTATATGTACAGGGTCACAAATATTAATAAGATTTGTTGAATCAACACTACATGATGGTTATATAACTTCATAATTGCACTACTCTCTCTGTCGAAGCTTTAGAATTCTTTATACGTATTTATTTCAAACTAGCTTCATTATTGAACTATAGTAGTTTTTTGAAACCATACTAATGTTTGGTGATTTACATCATTTTTTTTATAGTGTTCTGTGATTTAGTTTGAATATAGACATAAAAAGAATTAATTCATAAGAGCTACAGTACACACACACACACAGAAAGAACACAAAAAAAAAGATGACAATATTTTGTTTTACCCACAAATAAAGAAAACATTGAAGTCATGCTGAACTATATATGTTGAACATAAAATTGAAATGAAATTATTCATACATAAACGTAGGTGTACAGAAAAAGAAAACGAACACATGAATCTGACATATTCACATAAAAAGAAAAAAAAAAGAAAAGAAAAAGTTAAACTTTTTTTTTATTACCTTGTCCTTGATCATTTAAATCTTGTAATTTACTTTCAGTCATTGTCAAACGTGTTTCAAGTATAGATACTGTTTTTGTTAATATATCTAATTGTTGAACAATATGTTCAAGTGTATTTGTTAATTGTGGTGAGTATGTCTGATGAGCAGTAGTTTCAACATCGTATGTCGCACGATTATTTTTACTTGTTCCATTAGCTACTGTTGCTGAATTAATTAAACAAGCTGAAGCACTATTTGACTAAAAAAAAAAAAGATATGAAATAAAAAAAAGAAATCGTGATATAAAACTATTCTTCTTACACGAGCTATGCCATTTTCATAAGCTGGTCCAATATTTGTTATTTCAAGACGATCATCATCATCGAATGTACGTGTTGTTGATTTTCCACTAAACATTTCGATCTAAATATATATTCAATAATCAATAAAAATTTTTCAAGCAAGAAAAAAAAATGTTTACTTTTCGTGCTCGTCGTTCATCACTTGTTTCTGGATTAGATTTTTCACGCAAGGATGTTATTTGTGGTTTATTTTGTTGAATATTTGCCGATGAGATTCGTGATGTTGTACTATAATCATTACTTGTTAGATCACTTCCATTTGTATATTTATTATTTCTTATATTAGTTGTATCAACAAATGGTGCAGTTGTATCGAAATTAGTTTTCCAAACAAGAACCTTACCAAAAAAAAAAAGTTATGAGTAAATATGAAAAAAAATTTTTAGCTTATGAATTATAATATGATTTACTTGTTGATCTTGACCACCTGATGCAAAATAATCTCCTTGTTTTGAAAATGCTACACTCATTGCAGGTCCCTAGAAAGAAGAAAAAAGAATGTATGCCATAATTGGTGATGGACCAGTTAGAATCTAGAGAAGGGTCAACAGTCTTTATAAGACCCTCGTCGGAAAGTTAAGAATAAGAAGAAGTGAATGAAATATAGTGAGTGCTTCTTGCATCAAAAAACCGTGTACTTGAAGAAACATACCAACATTTGTGTTTGATGAATTTCGACTCTCGAAAAAAAAGACTTTTTGATCTGTTTTACTGAGGAACAGCAGTAGCACACACAAAAAGAAAAAGAAATTCTATTGCTGGTTTAGTCATTTCGTTGAAAAAATATTTCTTACACATATAAATTTAACAACTGAACGTAAGCCAAGTCATTGATAATGTATGATATAATATTTGATCATACAAAATTCAATATTTCCTAAAGAATGTTTTCCAAGTCTCCTTCATTACGAAAATACTACTATTTATCATCGAAAGTAGTGAAAAGTTTTCATGTTTGTGTACAACAATTTCAATGCACAGCATAAATCTATCAATCTGATAGAATGAGAAACAAATGTTTAAACGTACCCCAGCCTTAATTTGAATCTAGGAAAGCTTCGGGTCGGGTTCACAAAAATGTAGACTCGCAGCTCTCTATGGGCAAGTATCGACCATCATTAAAATTTTGTTTTTGTACAAGATTTTTAAAACCGATATCATTACTTATTTTGAATGGTCGAAAGTCAAGTACTGCAAATTCAACACAAGCAACGTCTAATTTCTTGTTTAATTCGATCTGGAACATCTGTTTTCGTTTTTTTTTTATTTTGACAACTATGAATATACTTAGATAGTGAATTAGTGCTAGAAGATGATTTATCTATAAATAAATATTCACATGGATTACATAGAATATATTTTTGTTTTGATCTCGTTTTCATAAATACAACTAAGACTATTTCCTACAGCTGAAGATTTTGGTATAGCTATTGATTTGACGATTTTAATATATCAATTAACTGTTCAATTTTCTTTTTTGTTAACATAATTCTCTTTTCAACTATGTGAAAAATTCTAATTTATAAAATATTCAATAATGGGAAAGTGAACAACAAGAAATAATCGTATGTTAACTTTTTTCTAAGAGTAGCCAATAAATAATTAAAATCTTGATCTTTCACTTGTTCATGTAAACACACAGTACCAAATATTGATAAAGAAAAAAAAACTCAGATCTACCAGCTCTCTAGTCTTCAGTGAATTCAAGCCTTATGGCTCTGTCATTTATGTATATCATCTATAATTATTAAAATATGTTCTTACTTGATGACCATGTAATGTATAAATAAGACGTCCTTCAAGTAGATCAAATATTTTTAATGTAGCATCACTTGATGCAGTTAAAAGAAAATTTCCATTTGGATGAAAAGCAACATTATTCACTGATGCTACATGATCTAAACAAATTAATATTGTTTTTCTTTTTTAACATATTTTGAGTAGTAGGGAAAAAGAAAACGAATATTCAATTCTTACTTGCATAATGTT